GGCCCTCTAGACTTCTTCCAGTCGTACAGAGGATTTTGCATAGATGTAATGCTCTAATGGAATCTTACATTTCCCCGTTGATCGACGGGGAGGCGTAATGTTCTGTATCTCCAAAAGTCAATTAAAATTCATCCACCCGCACCGGGAGCTACCAACGAGCCGATAATTCATTGCCGTAAATATCCCCTCGCCTGATCTTTTAAATTTTCATTAACCGTTCCTAGGCGAGCAGGCCTTCACTTAAATTACAACTCTTATTTATAAACGACTGCGTTCGCTCCTGTCTGCCCATCCATGGCCAATTATTCGTCGGAAAACTGTTTTTTAAGGTAATACCAAATAGCTCGCTTGGGTTCGGTGATAAAGTGGCCAAATTTCTCGCGGCACTTTGTTACAGATGGGGGGAGTAACGCCGTAGCTCCATGCTCCTCTAAATAGGGCAGCAAAAATTTAATTAGCCTTCAGGGGGAGTTTATTTTTATTGCTTTTCAATTGGGTGGCATGGGTGAAGTAGACTCACGTCTTACGAACGAAACAATCGAATTAAAACTTTGGTGAGAAGGCGTCTGCCGGTCGATGCCTTTAGAGGTGGTGGGAGTTGGAAATGGTGATTGGATTAGACGGCAGACGAGATGGGCTTCAAGAAAAGGCAAGTGTGGTAAGAAATGGGTCTACGATATTGCGTTGACAGCGTCTTGAACTGATTGGGATTGACCGGGTTTCGTGTGGAAAATCGATGATGGAGACATAGTTCATGCTACAAGGTCCGTGATTGGATCGGAGCTTCCCCTTCATGGTTCGTTTGCAAGAAAATTCAATTTACTCGTTGAAGGTAGTGTGTCTTACCGATGGGTTAACTTTGTGAAATTTGTTGGATTCAACGAGTTGGTTGATCCGAACCGCATAAATCCATTCTATCAATTGATCGCGTCACGTGGATAAACCACTGCACCGTTTTGTGCAATCCAGCGACAGTTAATTGATAATTTACAATCGTTCGTGCCTACTTCATTTTTAAACTGCCACTTTGCATTCCCATAATATACGGATACCGTACTTCAAAGGCCGCCGGCCACGTACACCGTGCCTCATCCGGTTAGGGAGGAGTGGGCCGCGGTGACAGCGAATCAACATTGCTTTCTGCCGGTAACGATGGCAATCAGCATTAATGCCGGCATTGCCGAGCTCAAAATGAAAATATTATGACACCATAACAATAAAAACGGATTTCACCGGAAGCCTCGACGAGCACAGCGGCGCAACGCACAAAGGTAAGTACACATGCAACCCCCCCAGCATCACCATCATCATCATCATCATCATCATGATCATTGATTGTGTGTTTCACAACAGTAACAGCGCACGGCTCTTCCGGTAACCTCTGCCCTCCACCGGCTGGTCGTTCGGAGTTCTCAGAAAGCGCACCGAAATTGCAACATTCCAAAGTCAGTGTCCCAGTTGTGTTGTTGGGTTGTTGCTAGAGTGCTCTGCCGTGGCCGGGGACAAATCGAAGCGCATGTGGACCTCTCTAAGCCTGGATAATAATGAACATATAAAGTAAGCATACACACAAGCCATCCCGTAATAAATTTCACATAAAACAAGTCCACATTACTTTCGGCTCAGTGAGGATGCCCTACAACGGCTCGTTGTAGAGTGAGGATGCTCTTCTGCTCGGAAAGATGTGTTTCCCTACACCGCTGGAGGCAGATGATCATTTTACAATGGTCCAAGAAATGTGGCATGTATGAACAAAGGAAAGGGGTAAGCATGATTGAAACGTCAGATATTAAATGAAACTGTGTACGTCTTGAACAACAGAAAAGGGTTTGGGGAAACGATGCTACGATAGGGGGTTTTGACTGAAAATATATCAACTAAGAATATAGTTGATAGGGGAAATGGCTCTAATGCTGGCCTATGGATTTAATATTGGACCCATCGCTAAAAATCTGTATTTATAAATTTTATGTATTGGCTCAAATTAAGGGAATTTAGGCCGACATTACATCCATTTCCCCTATATTAGCACATATATTGTATTCTCATCAATTTCGACTTCTTAGAAGATGACTTGAAAATTATCGCTTTAAAAATCAATTAATAAGTAATTACCTTGAAGTTTAATCAAAGTTCTAGCTCATGAAATTTCATACATGAATAGCTGGCAAGAACGATGAGAACAAACATTTCTATTCTGCTATTAAAGGTTGGCTAGAACGACTCGTTCCAAAATAGAAATTCCTACCAAATGGAAACATACCAGCAAATAGCTTCAGATGGACAAGGCCTGTTAAATGGAAGACAGTTCAGCTGACCGATTCAAGAGTGCTATTTGACTACCTATTGTTTGCTTTAAATTAACATCTTCCTTAGATAGAAGGTTGTGGTCTTTGGAAAATTGGCTTAGATAGATATTTCGTCGGTTTCAAGCAATATTGTCTCATAATAAACAATTTTTCCGTTTAATCGTTTACAATACGTAAACGTCGTACACACATTGATTGTATTGCCGAGATTGGTACAGCTGACCAGTTAGGTACACTGAACACGAATCTTACACAAAGAATGAGTCATTTTTACTCATTCGTATAGAGACATTTCTTAAAGCGTATGCTACTTTTGCGCTGGACGACCTACGCTTTTAGAAATGTATCCATACGAATGAGTAAAAGGCACTCATTCTCTGAGTTAGTTTCGTTTTCAGTGTTTTTATTTTTACTGAGATCTCAGTCAGTGATGCAAAATATCATGACACTCACTCGACACTCGTCGACGCATCAACCGACTATCACTGACAGAACGTTTTGTCACGCAGTGAGAGGTAGAGCCATGGCAAACAACAATGACCAGTAATGGTTGCTACTCACAAGCAGGGTTACTTCCACTCACTTGCTATAAAAAAATGTTTTTCGGAATTATGAAATCATGATATAGTATAATACTAATTAATACTTATGAAGAATATGTTCGACACATAAAATCTGTCGAAATTGCTTTCAGTGCGTCACAATCAGCGATTTTACGACTCGTGAGCGCTCACTCTGAGTGAACGCTCACGAATCATAAGATCGCTAATTGTGACGCTCTCAAAGCGAAATTGACAGGTTTTATGAGTCAAACGCATACTTTACTACCTCTTCTTGTTACTTACAAGTACCGTGCCGATTCAAATTTCGGACACTTAAACTCGAATTTCGGACACTTTTAAAAGTTGATTATCTCGGTCGAATATGATCCACATGTCTTGTAAATTTTAAATTTTTTTGACTAGTGCCCTCCACGATCATCTAACATTATTACTTTGTTTCTAACTGGATGTAATATTTAATTAAAAATGAAAGTGTCCGAAATTTGAATCGTCCGAAATTTGAATCGGAACGGTACAACATAGCATTATTTCATCTAATGATTGCATAATTCCGAATAATATTTTTTATAGCAAGTGAGTGGAAGCAACTTTGCTCACAAGTAAAACGTAACACTCGCTGCTGATGATGTAAATCACAACGAAAACAGTGAAGACTTCTGCAGTACGATGATGAAAAAAAGCGAAACGACAGTGAAAACAATTCCTACGCATTCCAAGTTCGTCTCGGCAGACGCGACTGTGTGAGTTACAAGCAAAGCTGGCAAAATTAAACGGAATCTGTTGGGCTCACGCACCAACACACCAATTGTCGGGAATGACCAGATCGGTGATGGATCACCACCGAAAACGACATTCACCAGTTGCTTTTTACTTCTTTCGTCAACTTGATGGAGAGTGCTTCGTCAAGCACATTGAATTCTGCTGCGGGTGATACAGTACACGCAACTACGGTGCGACGCCTCTCTTCATCTCCTGCTTCTGGGATTTCTTCGGCAGCACCATACCATGCTTCTGGAGCCTCCTTCAGCCAATTCGGACCTTCCCACCAAAGTTCATTGTCAACGATATCTTCGGGTGACACTCCACGCGATATTAGGTCCGCTGGGTTGTCTGTACCAGGCACATGTCTTCATTGCCATCCCTCCGTTAGCGTTTGAATTTTTGCCACCCTGTTGGCAACAAACGTGGTCCATGTTGCTGGCGTAGATTCGATCCAACGCAGCACACATGTTGAATCTGTCCAGAAGAAAGTCTGAACCGCTAACCGAGTAGAATCCTTGACCTTTTCGTATAACTGGGCCGATAATAGGGCACCACAGAGCTCTTATCGTGGGATAGACTGGCAACGGAGTGGAGCCACCTTGGATCGGGATGATAAGATTCGAACCTTAATTGTTCCGCTGGAATCCTAACTTCTTATGTAGACGCAACCACCATACGCCTTATTCGAAGCGTCTGAAAAGCAGTGTATTTCCACTAGTACTGCCTTGGGAATGATGACACAGCGATCGACTTGAATTTCATTCAACAATGGGAGTTTTTCGTGAAATTTCCGCCAATTCTCACCCACCATCAAAGGTACTGGTTGATCCCAGTACAACCGATTGTCGGTCTCGTCTTGCAACGTCCAAAGCTGCTGCATAAAGATCTTGGCAGACGAAGTCGTGGCACCAATCAATCCAAGCGGATAGAACAGTGTTGCGATTAGTGACAATATTCGACGCTTCGTCAACGGGACACCAGGTTCTATCGGAGGAACTGTGAACTGGAATCGAAGGGTATCGGTAATAGGCATCCACGTTAGTCCTAACGTTTTGACGGATTGATCAGAATCCAGGTTGATTCCTTTAGGGTCTCGAAGAGCCAGGTTTTCTTCGGGTACGCCTTCCAGAACTTCGGGAATATTGCAAGCCCACTTTCGGAGCTTGAAACCACCACACAGCATCATCTCGGCAACTGGTTTCTGAGACTGATAGCTGCATCCACCTCGTCCGTACCGGTGATGACGTCATCCATATACACGTCCTAACGAATTGCTCTTGCCGCGAGCGGAAATCGGTCTTCTTCGTCAGCAGCCAGCTGTCGGAGAGTTCGTGTTGCCAGGAAAGGTGCGGGTTTGGTTCCATACGTAACGGTGTTCAGTTCGTACACTGCGACTTCCTCGTCCGGAGAAAAGCGAAATAATACGGACTGGAGTGGTCGATCCTTGAGCCACGTAAGGATTTGTCGGAACATCTTCTCGACGTCCGATACGAGGAGAATCTGCTTCATCCGACTGCGTAGGATAATTGCCCTAAAATCTTCCTGCACAACTGGCCCTACCAGAAGCACATCGTTTAAGGACACTCCGGATGACGTTTTACACGAGGCGTCGAAGACTACTCTGACCTTGGTGGTGGTACTCGCCTCCTTGACCACCGGGTGATGGGGAAGATAACACCGTTTGACCGGTCCCTCCGTAGTTTCTTCGACCTTGCGCATGTGTCCCAGTTTCAGGTACTCGTCCATGAATCCGATGTATTGTTCCCGTAAGTTGGCGTCCCTTGCCAATCTCCGTTCCCTTCCGAGAAGACGTTGGAATTCGATGTCCCGTGACTCGTCCAGGTTTGGAAGAACGTCTTTGTTTTTGGGTAGGGGAATAGTATAACGACCTTCTGGACCTCTTTGAACTCCACGTTGAAATAATTCTTCACACTTTTTCTCCTCCAGAGAATAAGCGTCCGTGAATTCCACCTCCTCGCAGGACCAGAAACGTGCCATCAACTTTTCCAAGTCTTTGGACGTTGAGAAATGGCAGTTGAGTTGTAGAGAATTGATAGGAGTTGAACAGCCACCACAAACTACCCAACCGAACACCGAGTCTGAAAGGCTTGGTAGATGTTTGCCGATTGTAATCTTTCGCCCCGATTCGAAGAATTCGAAAAAAGCCTCGATGCCTAGCACAATGTCGACTTCCTTGGACGTGAAGAATGCAGGATCTGCTAGCTCAATTCCATTCGGTAGAACCCACCCTTCCGTGTTGATTGAGGTTGTAGGGAGCGTCGCAGTCACCTTGGGGTAGCACCAAAAACCTCATATCTCGCGAGAAATCCGAGATTCGCGAACGTATGACCGCTTGGACTGTATGTTTGACCTTGGTAGCCCCTTGTCCTATACCAAGGACCAAGACTTCGACCTTATTCCTGATTACCTTCATCCTTTGGGTTAACCGTTCCGATACGAAGTTGCTCTCTGAACCGGAATCAAGAAGAGCACGGGCGTGGTACCTTGAACCAACATCGTCCTCGACGATGACTACCGCTGTCCCTAAAAGGACTTGCGACGTGAGTTGATTAGACGTACCGCATACCGAAACGTCAGTGGCTGCCACGTTAGCCAGTTGGATTGAATTGGAACCCTAGGAGCCTTGGGATTCCTTGGAACTTGAAGGATGATTGCCTCCAGCAATCGCTGCAACCGTTACAGTGTGATCCTTCTCCGACTTGAAGCAAACCAGGGTATGATGACGGTTCTTGCAGATCCGACAGGAAAATTTGGATTGGCAATCCTTTGCCTGATGCCCCGATCGAAAGAAATTCCGGCAAAGTCGCTGAGATTTCAGTAGAGAATCCCGATCCACCACAGAAAGTCTTTGGAATGCGGAACATTGGTATAGAAGGTGGTTGTCCTTAGAAGCCACACATCTTCCACCTGACGATTGAATCGAATTGTAGCTTGCCTTGATTGCTGAAGCTTTCGGTTTCGGAGGTGGTTGTTGCTGATGGACGATCTTATTGTCCGTCTGCCTAGATGGAAGGGATTCCAGTACTTGCATTCGCTGACGCAGAAATTCGGTGAGGTCTGTCAGTAAATCCATCTCCTTGTTGGCCGAATATTCTTCCCATGCTCGACGAGTTGATGGATCCATTCGCATTGTGAGCAGATTCACCAATAGCGACTATTTTCAATCATTATTTTTAAAATGTTACTTCTGCAAATATTAGTTCCTGTGCTCAAAGGATGTTGATGTAACAACGTTTTAATAAATATCTTGTCAAAATCGAGATGCGATAAAAATTAGACGAGTGCGTCATTATTAGCGACGCGTCAAATATGGTGCTGGAACTGTACCAATGGTTGCTTTGATTGTTGAAACCACAAGCGCAGAAACTGTGTATTTATAATGGACCGTGCAATAATTTAAGACCAACAATTGAAAAGGCCTCAACTCCATTATGTAAACAAAGCTTTTAAAGCTATTTTGTCGCGAACCGAAGTCCACCAACGCAAACCAACAAAATTAACAGGTAGGAGAAATTATCCTCTACCCGATTGTGTTTTAGGTTTGCGAATGTAGGTTTCGTTTTGCGAGAAAATGGCCTTATAAGGTTTGTTTACAAAATGTAGTTGAGGCATTTTCAAGTTTTGGTCTTGAATTGTGTAAGCATTACACGCTACTTTAAAACTACTCAAAATTAGGTACTCAGCAATAACACCTCTAGCTACAATTCCAATATTTAGAGGGGAATTCCTATTTACGCAAGCATTTTTTATTGCTATTGCTTTTTTACGAATCCCTTGATACTTGGGCTTCGGTAATGTGGATACAATATTCAGTCAGCTTTCTTATTATTGAAGCTCAAGCGTCACGGTATCCGGAAAAAATAAATAGCTGCAAAATTTCTATCCATTAATAAGCATTCATGACTACAAGTACGATTTATGATCTAATTCCCGTCCTTCTAAGCACAACCCGCACTTTACATCTCTTTTCTCAACTGGTTTGCACAAAAGAATGGAATATTTATGTCAAAGATGACTTCAAAATTTATTCACCTTTCCATACGTATCGTTGGATTTGATAAAAACTCACAAATTGTTGATCTATTGTTTGAAATCTAATACTTTTTCTTGATCGTAAATCCGTCTTCCGAGTTTCAATTCCGTCCAAACGCATTAAAACGCCATTAAATTGTCTTCGTCCTACGGATAAACGTAGAAAAAGGGATTCGCTAGGAGCGCTTATTTTGTTTTGAGAATAATGAGCGTAAATATTCATACAATGCTCTCTTATAGGATTTATGATGTAGCTAATGAACAAACGCATCGGAACAGATTTATTATTGCTTTGTGCACGGTGAAATCATTGATATGATTGATTTTTTTGATCGATAGAACGGAAATGGGCGATTTAGACGAAGTAGCGCTCTACCCTACACACTTAGAAAAATTCATTTACATTTAGGTGTTCTGAGACTGACCTATACGAGCGTCAATTTGGACAAAAAATTGAGTCATAATAGACGCGAAATTCAGCTCAATCAAACGTTCTTTTGGATACTCTCGGAGCATTTAATTTTACATGACATGTTTGTTTACGTCTCATCCTTTATGTCAAAGATGGATTCCGTCACGTGTAAAATTAGGTATTTCTAAATGTGTTGTACGTGTTCATGCAGATATGAGTTCTCACAATAATAATTTCCTGGTTATGATACGATTGTAGAACGCAGGATAAGACTTTTTCGTAGATACAGCACAGCTATCGCCTTATCCGTGATTTTGGAAGAGGAATGACCGTCATAACCTTATTTATGCTCGAAAGGAGATGACGGTTAATTTATGTGTCTGATTATTTTTCCTAGGTGATATGATGGCGATGTCAATTATACAAGGTCTGGCCCCAAGACGGTTTTATGACAGGTGGGCAGGAACTCACGGTCTCCCAGTGTTGGTGAGTTCTTTGCCGTTAATGTTCACGAAAAGTTCACTATTTTGCCATACAGAAATTCCAAACAAAAAATTTTATCTGCGGATTTGGACTGTTTTTGACCTGTTTCGTACAACCGAAAGGTGTACGCTGGTCACAAATGCCGTGCCAAACTGATTTCCTACTCAATTAATCAATCTTTGATGTGAAATTCGCTAATAAACACGAGGCGCATTTCTTATAGCAAACATGCCATAACAAAATGGGCATGGTTCATTTTAGTAAACAAACTAACACTTCTTCCGACTGTGGCACCTATGTATTAGGCGCCGAGGTCTGGCCCAACCGGCGTATTGGTATTAGTGAAATGTGAAAATGTCTAGTGGTGGTCGTATTTCATCGCAATGTTTATCTTCTTACACGAAACAGCTGTTTTCTGTGACGACACGTCTGCTATTCGCAGTATGGAATGTTTTGCTGGTGAATGGTGAATACGCGGGGGACTCTTCAGAGCTAGAACCACTACCGAAACTACACAGCAAAAAAATAATTTTGATATCACATCAAAGTGGATGCACTACAATCATGTCGAAAATTTCATGTAATTTTTATGACCACATAAATAAACAAATGCAGTAAAAGCAGCGTAATGTCAGTTCATGCATTGTATTAATGATAATTTTGTCCTTTTTAGCAAGTAATATTACACCATATTTTCGACATGATTGCAGTGCATCCACTTTGACGTGATATCAAAATTATTTTTTTGCTGTGTAGCCTCCTGTGCTGTAACGGTGATCTCAGACTTCGGGCTTTCAGCTTCTGTTTCTCGAGTTCCGGGGATAATACGAGGTTTTTTAGCGTAGCTATATTAAACGCGAGGCTCTGATGGATTCGACACTTCCTTGTTCGAGCTTCCCGGAGTACGCTCGCGTTTTCTGACATCTCTACGTCGCTTCAAATACACTCGAGCTTTTGCATGTGCCACCATCGCGGTAAACTGCTTCTCCTTTGTGAAAGTGATGTTATCTATGGAAAATATTTTTGGATAATACATACTTACTAATGATATGTTTGATGAAAGTAAGATTCCTGATATCGTCAGCCATGTGAAATTCGGCTGTTACTTGATCCGTTAGCACAGCCCAAAGCCAATCATCCTTCCGTACGTTGCTAATCGCGTAAGAAATTTCCCGTTTCAAATTATGGATAAGTTCAGGATTTTCGAATTTTCGACCAGTTTTTCCAACTTCTTCGACGGAACCAATAGGAAATGTTCTCTTGATTGGAGCCTCGAAGTGCTTTTCCATGTTTTCTTTCAATCCTTGATACTGCTCGATGTATTGTGTTAAAAGGTCCCGCGTGGCCCGTTGATGGGCAAGGATGTCCCTGTTTTGCTGTTCAACTGTGAATTGAAGAACATATTAATTGTTTCGTTTTAGTTCGATATTTTGAAACTACCTTTATCAATTCGTGCATGAACTCTCTCAAACTCACGCTCTAGGAATCGCCTCATGCTGCTGTTATCGGACATCTTTAAGAGGCAACTAACCATCACTCGATTTGCTTTTGCTTCTTCTTCTTGTATTCCTAAATCATCACTTTCTAAAAGTATTGGTAAAATTCGTTGGTAGTGTGCGTCGGCGTGCCAAAACAGTCAATGAATCATAAATATCAACTGGTATGGTGAGCAAAATCTACCATCTCTTTTATTCTTTTAATTTTCAATACAACAGCAAATGTGACGTCACACATGCAAGCGTATAGGAATGTCGTAGACAAAACATTCACACTGCCAGACAACGCTGTACGGCATTTTGTTTACACCCCTGAGCGGGAAAGCCAATAACAGGCTACATGCAATGCTGCCATCTTCCCTTTTTGTGTTTAATTCAATTTTTTTTAACCTTTGCAATTGGAACGTTTATGTTCCAAAAAGATCCTTTTAGTTTGATTTATTCAGTGTTTGATATTCATTCACGATTGAAATCATCCACTCATCTATGTTAATGGTTGAAAGTTAGTATTTGCATGTTTTAATAAACTTATGTTGACTGCTAGACGTAATACATCTGGCAACGCTTGTTCAATGATTCTTTTACGTTCCCTACCAAAGAAGAGGAGTCGGAGTGATTTTCTTGGTGTTTTATTTTGTTCACCAAGAGATTTGACCTCCAGTTTTTATTCATTTTGTGTATTCGATTACGTGAAATTGTTGAATGCTACGAAGAACACAAGAAAGTGAATGCAGTGATGGTGTTTTACCCAGAAAATATACGATTTAAAATCATGAAATACTTGCTTTAAATTTTCGAATAGCTTGTGTGTGAATGTATGTGTATACTAATGATGATGATTGAAGAATATTTCAAAAACAAGAAGAATCC